TGGTCAGAAGATGGTACACTGTGGTCATTAAGACATGGATATGGTCAGAAGATGGTACACTGTGGTCATAAAGGGATGGACACGGTCAGCAACAATACTCAGGTAGTCTGGGGTGTTGACACGATGCTCAGTTGGTACTAATGGACCCAAAGTGTGCCAGGAAAATATCCCCCACACCACTGCACCACCACTACCAGCCTGAACCGTTGATACAAGGCTAGATGGATCCATGCTTTCAGGTTGTTGAAACCAAATTCTGACCTACCATCTGAATGTTGCAGCAGAAATCAAGACTCATCAGACCAAGCAATGTTTTCCAATCTTCTCTTGTCCAGTTTAGGTGAGTCTGTGTGAATTTTAGCCTCAGTTTCCTGTTCTTAGCTGACAGGAGTGGCACTCGGTGTGGTTTTCTGCTGCTGTAGCCCATCCACCTCAAGGTTTGACGTGTTTTGTGTTCAGAGATGATCTTCTACAGACCTCGGTTGTAACGGGTGGTTTTTTTGAGTCACTGTTGCTGTTCTATCAGCTCGAACCAGTCTGGCCATTCTCCTCTGACCTCTGGCATCAACAAGACATTTGCTTCTACATAACTGCTGCTCACCGGACATTTTCTCTTTTTTGGACCATTCTCTGTAAACCGTAGAGATGGTTGTGGGTGAAAATCCCAGTAGATCATCAGTTTGTGAAATACTCAGACCAGTCCGTCTGGCACCAACAACCATGCCATGTTCAAAGTCACTTAAATCACCTTTCTTCCTCATTCTGATGCTCGGTTTGAACTACAACAGATCGTCTTGGCCATGTCTACATGATTAAATGCATTGAGTTGCTACCATGTGATTGGCTGATTCCACGTTTGCGTTAATGAGCAGTCGGACAGGTGTACAGAATAATGTGGCCGGTGAGCGTACATGTCCATTTCAGCAAAAGATGTTTGAAAACTAAGTGAACAAAGTTAAAACACTGACAATGGACTGTATGAAAAGTACATTATTTCACAATCAGTCTTTTTGCAGCCAAAAGCTGTTGGCAGCTGAGCGAAGATCTGAAACTCTTCAAAATCAATAAAAGTTGTGGTTTGGATGGTTTCTCTTTGCTCCTACACACTACAAACTTTTACAGGAGTCACGACTTCTCACTGACAGAAAACAGTTTGTGTTRGGAGATCAGCTGGGAAACATGAAGCTGCATCGATGTCTTCCTCCACATTAACCCGAGTTGTGTTCGTTTGTTGCATCTGAACAGCCACAGGTTCACCTTTACATGTAAATTAATATAAGTTGGATTAAAAACGCAAAATGCCAAACTTCACGTCATTTAAACAAACACAGAAGCAGCTCCGGTCAGTGGGACGGAGAAATAAAAACACGTGAACATGTATGAACGCCACAGTCCAGCCTGTTTGTGAGCGCACAAAGTAGGACAGAGGATATGGAGTTCAAAACATCCCATAAAGGCTCAGGAGCTTTGTTCTGGTGTTCCCATGGTACCCAAGGTGGGGTGAAACGAGAYGAGAGAGGGGGGCGAGGGAAGGAGGAGTTCTGCTTAAGTTACTGAACCACAATAAAAACTGTTTCCCAGAGTTTCACACGCTCAGATCAAGTTGTACAGAATCTACTTTGACTAAGGATCTAATCAAAAATAAATGTATATAAAAAATAAAGCTGCTGCTTTTCTCGTCCACTGAACTCATCACCAATAAATGTCGATAAATGTGATGAATTCAGATAATCAATTAATCTAACTGATAGACAGAAGCAGATCAATTAATCACCTGACAGACAGACGGAAGCAGAGCGAGTGTGATAAGAGTCAACAGTGTTAAGAGCTGGTGATATCAGGTTACACCCCCACCCCCTTACACACACACACACACACACACACACACACACACACACACACACACACACACACACACACA